GACCCGAAGAGCCGCATCTCGGGCTGAGGGGGGTACGGGTTCCAGATGTGTGCCTTTGTCCACGTTCCCCGACCCCCACCCCTTCTGAGAATGGGCAGCACATCGGGGCCTTCGGGCTGGTAGTCGTAGTAGTAGCAGTCGTAGTCGTATTGTTATCAGTAGTAGTACTAGGGTTGACCTTAATCTGTTTGCGCAAGGGAGGCCCTGGGATCTCTTAGGCTTCCCGAGGGATTCTTGAGGATCTGGGGATTCCCATGAGGATTCCAAGAAGGATCTGAGGGTCCCCCGGGGGGTTCCTGTGGGCTTCCTGAGGGCTCAAAGAGCTTCCTTTGGGATCTCTGGGTCGGGGCGGTGGCGCGGGCGGCGAGGAGCGCCGCTCCTCGGCACTCCTCCTTCTCGGGAGCGGCCAAGAGGGGGGTGTCCAAGAGGGGGAGGGGGTGCAAATCATGACCGGCGGCACGTGCGCGGCCCAGCGGGGGGGCCAGGAACGCAATGAAATAAGAAGAGGCGCCATGAGATCTGGGGAAATATCATGCCCCCCGCCATGATATCCACCCCCCCCTAGTCATCACCCCCCTCTTTTCCGCCCCCGACCTTCGCGTGGCTGGCGGCGGCCCTCCGGGCCGAGGCGCGACCGCCGAGGCGCGCGGCGGCTCGCCGCCTCCGCGCTGCGCCAAGAGGGCCGCCGCTCGGGCGCCCCCGCGGGTCCGCGGGCCGCCGGCCCCGCTGCGGGGCGCCTCCTCCTCCTCCTCCTCCTCCTCCTCCTCCTCCTCCTATTCCTATTCCTATTCCTCCTCCTCCTCCTCCTCCTCCTCCTCCTCCTCCTCCTCCTCCTCCTCCTCCTCCTCCTCCTCCCCCTTCGAAGGTGAGCGTCTTTGTTTTTATTCGGCGTGTCGGCATCGGGCGGGAAAGGGGGGAGGGGAGGGGGGGGGCTGCTTGGTGCGGCTGCTTGCAGGAGCGCGGCCTCTGGGGGGGAACACCACACGTGGCACGTTCGCCGAATCCGCGAATGGCGGACAAGAGTGAGGGGGCGGGCGCGGGGCGGGTCGCGGGTGGGTCGCGGGTGGGTCACGAGGTTGGTCGCGGGTGGGTTGCGGGTGGGTTGCGGGTGGGACGCGGGTGGGTCGCGGGTGGGTCGCGGGCGGGGTCGCGGGTGGGTCGACGGCGACAGCAAAAAACAAACAATCTCCGTGGACCCCGCACAGAAAAAATCAAGACGTCCGATGTCTGGGAAGACTCGGGTACACGCCAACACGAATCACGGATCCGTGGGTGCGGCGCGTGGGCGCAGGATCCACGGGTCAGGGAGGGGACCTCCACCAGACACGAAGCCAACACCGCCCCGTTTGGCGACGGAGCGCGCCGATGTTGCACGGCAGCGGGACCCATTGTTCAACCTACGCGCCTGAATCCGCGCTGGCGCTTCCCCGAAGACTTCCACCCGCCTGAGCACCCCACTGGCTGGAGCCCCAGGCAGTAGGCAAGCGCGTTCCACTGCTCGCAAAGTCACTACTCGCAAATGGCCTGGATCAGCTGCGGAGGATTTACGACAAATTACACCGAGGCGAACGTGTGTTTCCCCATATCTAAAAGATGGTTTTCTTGTTACTCTCCGACCGCGCCGGACCATCCATACCATGAGATTGGATGATTGTGATGTTGATGACCATGGCATGGTGAGAGTATGATGTGAGTATGATGGTGATGGTGAATGATGGATGAGTATGGTGATGATGATGATGACGAGGAGGAGGAGGAGGAGGAGGAGGAGGAGGAGGAGGAGGAGGAGGAGGAGGAGGACGATGAGCAGATGATGAGGATGTCTCGAGCGGCTTGCTGGTTTTAGCACTCCTAAGGGGGGGCCGCCAGGGGTATTGCACGGCCTCCGTTCGCGCCCAAATGGTGGGGATGTCTCAGGCGGTTTGCCTGTTTTGGTCCCCAACATGCTCCGTTTTCGGAACAGATTTTGAGGATGTCTCGTGCGAGGCGCCTCCTCAGGGGGGGCCGCCAGGGGTATTGCACGGCCTCCGTTCGCGCCCAAATGGCGGGGATGTCTCAAGCGGTTTGTCTGTTGTGGTCCCCAACATCCTCCGCTTTCGGAGCAGATTTGGAGGATGTCTCGAGCGAGGCGCTCATGTTCGCCCCCAGGGGGGCCAGATTTTGAGGATGTCTCTATCGGTTTGCCAGTTTGGGTGGCCAGACTCGTGGGCACATAATCTCCCCAGGATGCCACAGAAGGCTCCAGCAGGCTTCAGGAGGCCCCAGGAGGCCACATGAGGTCCCAGGAAGCATCAGGAGGCCACAGGAAGATTCAAGAGGCTCCAGAAGGCCCCAGGAAGCTCCAGAAGGCCTCAGGAAGCCACAAGAGGCCCCAGGAGACCACAGGAAGCGCCAGGAGGCCCAGGCAACAGGAGGCCCCGAGAGGCCCAAGGAGGAGGAGGCCTCAGAAGGCAACAGGAGTGGCTCCAATCCCATGTGTTTTACGTATGCTTCTATAGATCGGGCCTCACCTGGAGCACGAATCCTTGATGTTATACGTATGTGTATACATACTGTCCTTCTCCTGTGTATACAATCCTGAATGTTTTACGTCTGTTCCTATGGATTGGGCCTCCCCTGGGGTACGAATCCTTGGTGTTTTACGTGTGCTCCTAGAGACTGCCCTTCTCCTGTGGCTCCAATCCGCAATGTTTTCCGTACGTCTGTTCCTATAGATCGGGCTTCTCCTGGGGCACGAATCCTCCCTAGGAGGTCCCAGGAAGCTCCAGGAGGCTCCAGGAGGCTACGCGAGGCTCCAGGAGGCCTCAGGAGGCCACTCGAAGCCTCAAGAGGCTCCAGGAGGCCCCAAGAGGCTCCTGGATGCCCCAAGAGGCTCCTGGAGGCCCCAGGAAGGCCCAGGAGGTTCTGGAGGCCCCAGGAGGCCCCAGGCTCATGCGCAGAGACGCGCTCGTACTACCGAGACTCTTCACGCTCCAATCCGTTCGAAGTTAAATTCATGAGCAGACCGTCGCAACGCAAGCCCACTTATATTCGAAAACTCTTGCGCCTAGACTCTCACGGCGGACAGGTCCATGCGAATATATGCACATATGGGGAGCTCCACCCAGTGATTTTTTTCCTGACGTTTGCGAGTAGGCACTTTGCGAGTACGTAGTGGAACGCGCCCGGTGAGGCAGGGAGGAGGAGGAAGACGGAGCTGGCCGCGAGGGGCGCACCAACCAGGGCTCGGCGCACGACGATGCCGGAGGCTCGTCGAACGGGCGGCTGCCGGGCCTCTGACGGGGTCCCCGCGGCCCGCGGGGGGGGGGGCTGCTCTGGAGCGTGCAGTTTGGCTGCGGGGACGCGCGTGTGGACGCGGCAGTGGCTGCGGCTGCGCGCAAACTGCGTCGCTCACGAAAGGGAGTCCGTGCATCACTGCGGCGCGGTGGTCATGACTCGTGGGGCCTCCTGCGCTCGAACCCCTCGCCGCTCCTGCACGGGGTGCACCGGGAGGCCCCACGAGGTGCTCAATGTGCTGGACAGGGTGCACCGAGGAGCTTTACGAGGCACTCGGTGCCGACGGTGAGCGGTCAATCTCGGTTACCGCCAGGGACCCTCCGAGCTTCTGGTGAGCGTCTTTTGATTCGGCGCGTCGACATTAGGCGGCCAGGGGAGGGGGAGGGGGGTGTCTGGCGCCAGACCTCTGCTCAGTGCGACTGTTTGCAGGAGTGCGGCCTCTGGGGCAGACTCCACCCGCTCGAAACGGGCGACAGGAAGCAGCCAAGATCGACTCCACGGGGGGGGACGTAAGGGGGGTTCGGGGGCCCGCGCCGGTCGGCCAACCAATGAAGCACAAAAGCGGTCACTTGATTATGGAACTGGTCAAGGCGTCGAGCTGAGGCCTAAATAATCACGCCCCGGGCGGGTGCGGAGGCCTTCGACGAGCTGCACAGGCCCACAGGGGGGGCCCTGCTGTGCTCCATAGGGGGAACTTTTGTCGGGCCCTCCCCACACGGGGACTGGGCCTGAGCCCCGGCATGCACACGCAGAGGCTACATAGTTCGCGCGCTTCCACAAGCAACATCCCCTCGTCCTCATTACCTCCTCCGTCCCCCACGCTGCCCCCTCAGGAGAGAAGAGTGTGAGCGGCAGGGTACACGCCAAGGGAGAGAAGTTGGCCAGAGTGGGGGGGGGCAAGGAAGCAGGCAGGGACGCCAGGGGCTCGACACAAAGAAAGCGCCCTCACGCTCAAAGTCGAAAGCCGCAATTCGGACCATAGAATACCACCAGTCCCTTGGCCCTTTGGCAAATGGCGGGAGCTGTATCCCGCCAGGGATTTACGGGGACCACGTTGTGCAACAAGCCACGGAGCAAAGAACCATTTGCACTAGATGACGGTATGCACAATTCTCTGAACTGGGTTTAAGTCGTGCCTGTCCCCCTACAGGCCGATTTTGGACAAATGAAAAATACCCAAAAATGCAACCAAATAAATCGAAAATGGTCCCCCAAAAAGTCCCCAGACTATTTTTTAACTATCTTTGAATATTCCCCTGTAGAGGGACAGGCCCGACTTACAACTAGGTCTAGAAGGATATACCACTGTAGTGGAACGGGATCCCGCCCAGACCACGCAAGATGTGCGCATTGCCAAGCTTCCACAGGGGCAAAGGGACTTCAGCGCCTCCCGACACTTCGTCCCCCTCGGGGACGCAGTCGCGGGAAGCGCGTGTTTGCGAGCAGAGTATACAGCCAGGAGACCTGACAGAAATCCAACGAACTTTCCTAACAACGATGTAGAATCCCCATAGGTAGTTATCCAAGATCTCGCGAGTATGCCCGAATTGGCCGACGATTGAGTGCACTACGGCTCAAGAAGGTCACACTTGCTCTGGGCGGCCAGGGAGTCTCCACAGGATGTCGCCGAGCGCCCACCAGCAACACCTCAGCAACACCAGCGCTGCTTGATTCGCAAGGCCTCCTTCTTCTGCCCCCTGTGACCCCTGGGAGGGGCCGCCCACCTGCGGCCATGAGGTCCGCCAGCTTGATGCTCAGGTCGTGCTTGAAGAGGTCGTTCCACATTGCCAGGCGGCTCTCGTCCACAGCTGTCGCCTGGGCGTCTCGGCAAGAGTGAAGGGGCCCTGGGACATTTTTTCTTTTGATCCGCAGGTCGAGAGCGCACCTTTCCCGGTCGAAGCGAAGCGGGCCGCGCACGGCTTTCATCGACAGAGGGGGGAAGGCAGCAGGAGGGGCCTCACGTCAAGGCCAAGAGAGGGCAAAGCCCCCAGAATCAGGCGGTGCCGGGCCCTGGGACACACAAATGAACAGACACAAAAACGACAGGACGAGAGGGCAGATCGGGGCAGGGCAACTTAAGACCTCAGAGTCGGCCCCCAGACGCCTCCTGGCGCCCCCGCGCACCAGCTTTTTCCGCGCTGCGTGCTCCGCCGTGGCGACGCGGCGCCCCCCTCGAAGGCCAGCTGCAGGTGTCTCCAACGGCCCGCCTCGGAGCAGAGGGGGAGGGGGAGGAGGAGGAGGAGGAGGAGGAGGAGGAGGAGGAGGAGGAGGAGGAGGAGGAGGAGGAGGCTTGGGAGGGGACGGCCGAGTGTCGCCCGCCTGTGTCCGCATGGTGGAGCCCACCGGGTCTCCTTGCGCCCACTTCTGCGGCCCTTCCCTCGGCTTCACGAGGCGACGGGGCGCGGCCTCGTTCCCTGCGCTGGGCGTGCACTGCAAGTGGGGCACGTCCAGACCTCCTCGCGTAGCAAAAAGATCACGACGGAATTTCCGGTGGCAACTCGTGGGAGCCTCCCATACCATCTTGTCGGCTCTTGCGAGATCGACGCTAGTCGACGCTAAATCGACCCTAACCGATGCTAAATCGACGCTAATCGACGCTGATTGACGCTGAATCAGCGCTATCTCAGCGGCTCCCAGACGCTAATCGACGCTAGAAGCGAACTTACAAGAGTTTACCAGGCTGCCAGGCGCGGACATGTATCGGCCTTACGCAGGCCGATACATGTCCCTGTCGAGCCCCAGGTGGCGACGACAACGCACCGACCGACCGACCACGACGATGACGACAACAACGACCAGCCGACCAAAATGTCGGCCGACCGACCGACAAACCGACCACGACGACGACGACGACAAATACGATCGACCAGCCGGCCGACCGACTGGGAAGCCTTTCCACCGTAGAATCATAGCAGTCTGCGAATCCAAGGCTCCGTGAAAACCAGTTCCTGTGGGTCTACAATATTAGCCATTGCTCTAGGTGGCACCCCGCAGATGCGGATAAGAGTGGGGGGCGGTGGGGACGTCAGCAGTTTGCGAGACTCCGGAGAACCCCGCCGCAGGCGCCAAAATTACAACGAGCCCACCCAAGCACAGATTTTTTCGTAAACCAATGTGAATAGGTCGCGGGTGGGTCGCAAATGGGTCGCGGGTGGGTCGCTGTCGGGTCGCGGGTGTAGAGGGCAGAAAATCCACCCCATAATAATAACCCCGACAAGCGAAGCCGTTTAGTAAACGCACACAAGGAATGAATCGAACAGGGCAAGGCTGTTTAGTCAAAGTCCAAGGCCGTCTTAAAAACGCCAATTGTCGGGTCCGGGTGTTTTTTCCTCCCTTGAGGCTGGGTCGCGGGGTGGGTCGCGGGTGGGTCGCGGGGTGGGTCGCGGGTGGGTCGCGAATGGGTCGCGGATGGGTCGCGGGGTGGGTCGCGGGTGGGTCGCGGGGTGGGTCGGGGGTGGATCGCGGGTGGGTCGCGGGTTGGGTCGCGGGTGGGTCGCGGGGTGGGTCGCGGGTGGGTCGCGGGGTGGGTCGCGGGGTGGGTCGCGGAGTGGGTCGCGGGGTGGGTCGCGGGGTGGGTCGCGTGGTGGATCGCGAGTGGGTCGCGGGTGGGACGACGACAACAACAAAAACAACAATAACGCAACAAGCAGAACTCTCACCACGAATTCCTTATTCAGCCACGCAACCAAGGACAATGAATGACCGTTCGGCCCCCTCACTCTGATGTGTATATATATATGTATATACACATCAGCAAGAAAGTCCGACCCACGAAACTCCCTTAACAAAAACTTAATCCGGAACATCGGCAAGTGGTGTCTACGAGCCTCTTGCGCACAAGTCATGGGATCAAATGGAAACCATGGTTTGGATGACTCTCGGCCTGGGACGAGAGAAAGTGCGCCCCTTCAGCGTTTCAGCGAGAAAACTGCACGGGAGAGATACTCCGGGGACCAACGCTGCGTTTGCATTCTTAGCGAGGGCGTGCAAAAGCTCATCTGAATTGTTCGGTTTTCCGTTCGATCCAACCGCCTGTGCTCGCGCGCGTCTCGACTAGGTCGCAGCGAGGAAGGGGCGAGACCGCCACGTGCATTGGCGGGGGAGCCTCCATTTTCGCAGGCCGAGCGATTTTCGCTTTGAACATAAATGGCAACGACGACGAACCGACCGACCGACGACGACGACCGACCGACCGACCGGCCGACCGAGCGACCGACCGGCTGGCGAGCTGACCGACCGACCGACCGACCGACCGACGACGACGACGATCGACACACCGACCGACCGACTGGGAAACCTTTCCTCCGTAAAACTATGGCACTGGATTGCAGATCCACGGCTCCTTGGATGCTATTTCCTGTAGGTCCAAAGTCTGCACTGACGTGATTATCACAGCAAGGGGGCCGAACGATCTTACACCATCCGTGGGTTTGCCGGTGAAGTGAGATTCCCTGAGCTGGATTAGGTTCGATTGTTGCTGTTTAGTGCCCCCCGGTGACCCGCACCCTCTTTTCTACAAGGCGACGTCTTGGGGCTCAGACTGTGCCCCTGGCCTCTGGTTTACAACACCAGCAGCTCATGCATCAAATTTCTGCGCAAATTATCCAACATCGCGCTCTCGCGCTGGACGTCTTCGCAAGTTATGCAAGACTCGCGCTGTCGCATGGGACTTGCTCGCAATGCATTGAATCGCCGCGCCCTCGACACTCGGGAATCACGCTCACGAACTGGACTTCCTCACGATAGCATTGGAAATCCCGCTATTGCTCGAATGTTCCTCGCGATTCCTGCAAGACTGAAGCGTCGTCGGGAACGGCCAAGAGGGAGGGGTCCAAGAGGGGGGGGTGCAAATCATGACCGGCGGCATGTGCGCGGCCCAGCGGGTGGGCCTGGTACGTAATGAAATAAGAAGAGGCACCATGAAATCTGAGGAAAAACCATGGCCCGCGCCATGAAATCCACCCCCCTACTCATCACCCCTGTCTTTTCCGCCCCCGACGTCAACGACCCGCCCCCGCCGGACACGGCCACCCGGGCCCGCCCGCCCGACCCGCCCGCCAGGGTCCGCCCAACCGACCCGCCCGTCTGGCTCTGCCGCTTGTTCTCCTGCTCCTAAGCCCCGTCGTGCTAATCTCGCTCGTGCTCCATCATTTTCCCTCCCTCTTGTCTTTTCCATCCCTTCCACCTTGTCCCTGGTTAACGGGCTGTCAACTACGCGTGGCACATAAGAGTATACATATGTCTATATAGATACATGCATATAGATACATACGCGTATGTATGAACATACATACACGTGTATCTAGATATATGTATACTCAAGGGGGGTGCGATCGAAGACGAGGAGGGCGGACACCGAGGGTTTGGGATACACATGCTGATTGGCACGCGGGCATAAAAGAGCGAACAATACGGCAATTTTGCTGTCAAGTTTTGAAACTCTCGATTCAGCACGATGTTAACCAGCGTCGACGCCGAACCGTAAGCTAGCAGTCCATGTCGTGCACTCTATTTGGGCTGCTTTCCGCTGGCTGGCCAATCGTTGCGGCCGCGCCAGCCCGCGCAGCCTCGCGCGCAAGGCGCCCAGCTGGTCTGGCGCGACTGACGCGGCCGCGTTGGCGATGATAACTGCGGACTTCCCAGCACTTCTCGCAACAGACGCGCCGGCACCTCCGTGCGAGTCGATGACTCGGGCGGGCACGGTACCACGGCGACGTCGACAACGGAAGGCACGGCTATGATAGCAGCGACGCTGATGACGACGATGACGATGACAGCGGCAAGGCCAATGGGTGCGCCGATGCTGATCGCGCCGATGACGATGATGATGTTCACGTGTCGGCGATGGAGGTTTTGGCAGGACTTCGACATGCGCGCGCAGCCGATGCGTGCGAGTGGCCCGCATGGTATGCTTCGCCAGGGATCGTGCGCCCCCCACGGCACGCGCTCAACGGCGTCCAAATGATTTCGACATGCGCGCGCAACAGACCTTGTTGGTCACATTCGATGATACAGTAATGCTGAAAAAACAAATGCCTGTTTGAAGAATTCGGAAGGGATCGCGCGCAGACTGACTTGAACAGACCAAGCATGTTGCACAAACCTAGCATGTCTTTAGGGCTCAGCCCGAATGCGTTTCTCGCCAGGTGAACTGACCTGGACTGAACTGAACAGACTGGTCGCACCAGTTACGCGACGGTTTCATTCTCGGCGGCCACGGGCGCAATCTATGGTGCAACCGATAGGAGACGACTTAATTCTCGGCCGCCGAGGGCGCAACCTATGGCACAACCGATGGGAAACGGTTGTATTCTCGGCCGCCGAGGGCGCAACCTGTGGCGCAACCAATAGGAGATGGTTGTACTTTCGGCCGCCGAGGGTGCAACCTATGGCGCAACAGACAGGAGACGGTTTTAAATCTCGGCCGCCGAGGGCGCAACCTATGTCGCAACTGTTAGGAGACGGTTTTATTCTCGGCCGCCGAGAGCACAACGTGTGGCGCAACCGATTGGAGACGGTTTTATTCTCGGCCGCCGAGGGCGCAACCTATGTCGCAACCGATTGGAGACGGTTTTTTCTCGGCCGCCGAGGGCGCAACCCATGGCGCAACCGATAGGAGACGGTTCGAATCTCGGCCGCCGAGGACGCATCCTATGGCGCAACCGACGGGAGCCGGTTCTAATCTCGGCCGCCGGGAGCGCAACCGATGGCGCAAGCGATTGGGGACTGCTCTATTCTCGGCCGCCGAAGGCGCAATCCATGGGGCAACCTATGGGGCAACCTATGGCGCAACTTAGGTGTCAGGAAACGGAGGA